GAAGGAGACGGCGAATCAGACCCAGTCCCTGCTGAGCTCGGTGGAAAGCGCCGTGGACGCCATCGACGAGCAAACCCAGCCCGCCAGGTCTGCAGCACCTCCCAGCCTTCCCCTCTCTGCCCTGCCTGCTGTTGGTGCGGGGCTTGGAAAAGGAAAGCAGTGGTGTGCGGGGGCACAGGGAGCGGGGCCAGCACCCGCCTTGCTCTGGGTCTCCTTCCTGAGAGCTCCCAGGGCTTTCCCCCACCTCTCTGTTCCTGCCCCACAGCCCTAAGAGCCTCACTCGGCCCCTCCGTGACCCTGGGGATGCAAATGGGGGAGCAGCACCCCAGCATTGGGCTGTGGGGTGCTGGGTGCACGGGGCTGGTACTCTGAGCAAAGCCACCAGTCCCACCCGGGGTGAAACACGGGCATGGTGGCTGGGTCTGGGCTGTGCTGGGGACAGCCTGTGGCAGACATTCCCATGCTGGGAATGGTGGCCCTCCTGCCAGGGCATGCCATGGGGGAGATCCTCCACAGAAATGCAAGAAGGCTCATGCCCCAGGGACTGGTACCACCACCTCAAGGTCCCACGTGGAGGGTACTGTCCCCATCCCAGCAGCCTGGCACACTGTCCTGGTTTGAGCTCCCTATCCCACCAAATCCTGCCAAGCTTGGAGGAGATGGTTTCAATATTTCTCAAGTCAAAGGGGCACCTGGCAGTATAGGCCAAACCTCAGCACAGCCCCCGTGGTGTCACAGTGTCACTTGCCTCCCCAGAGTGCTGCCATCATTGGCTGTAACCAGGACAGGTTGCCATAGAAACTGTTCATCAGATGCTCCTGAAGCAAATCCCTCTCCTGCCATACCTCCAAAGCAGGAGGCCATGGGGTGCTGGGGACATGCCTTGGCTTCCCTGAGCAGACAGAGAGGTGGCCTAAAAAGCACCAAAATGAAGGGCTGCAGAACAAAGTGTGAGAGCAGAGCACCCAAGCCTGTGCCACCTCATTAAATTGGGATTAAAAAGAAATCTCTCTCTGTTCTCGTCTAATTTCCTGCCTATTGACAGAGGATTATTCAGCTCCAGCAGTGGGTTTAGTGCACAGCCTGTGGCAATGGGGGTGTTCCTGCCACCTTTATCTCTGTTCTTGCTTCCTTATCTTTGGGATGCACTCCTGTGTGAACGGCCAAGTCCACGCTGGCTGATTTTGGGATACAACAGCAGCCCAGATGTTGCTCCCTTGACACCAAAGGAGCCAGCCAAAACTGCCCAGGGTATCCAGAAAGGGCCCAGAGAGGGCACCCAGCTGCTGGGTTCTGGAGGGAGTCAGGAGGGCAGGGACAGTGCTGGCCTGTGGTGTGCCCATGGATGCCCCAACACTCCCCTTGTCTCCTGCCAGGAGTCACATGGCTGGTGAGAGACTCCAAGAGGAGCTGGGGCTCCCAGACATCTCCATCAGTGGGCAGCTGGCACAGAGCTGCTCTCCAAGGGGACTGGGAGCCAAAAGGGGTGCTCTGAGGTTGGGTTCCCAGGGCTGGCTCACCCTGTGCCTGGCTCTACCCTCTCTGACAGCCTCTTTGGTTGCAGGCACTGCCCCAGCAAGGCTGGCCATGGTCTGATGGACACCTGGTATGACAGCCCCGTGCCCAGCTATTCTCCCACCAGCCGGATGGTCCCCAGGGAGCATGGGAAGAGTTTGCAGAGTGGTGAGTGATGGCAGCCTGGGGTGGCTCAGGGTGCTTGGGAAAGGGATCAAGGCAATGCTGGACTCTTAGAGGGCTCTTGGGGGTGCCCCTTGCCCCATCACTGCCTCCTGGCTCCACACAGGTTCCCCTGACACCAAGGCAGAGGGGCTGGAGGGGCAGAGCAACAGGCAGGCTGAGCTGATCGGCAGGCTGGAGGACAAGGTGAGAGCCATCCTTTCCACACCTGGGGTGTCCCTGGGGTGTCCCACCACCACCTCCCTGCCCTGGTGGCCCACCCAGAAGTGTCCAAGTTCATCCCGTGGGCCATGGGTGGGAGTTGGGTCGCTGGTGGTGGAAAATACTACATCAGATGAGGTGCCAGCAGCTACGGGGTGTGGAACAAGTAACTGCGCGTTTATTTAAACAAGGAACACCAAGGCAGAAGGGCAGGTGTCCTGCAGTCTCACTCCATCTAGGGACTGAAGGAGAAAAACGGCTCTCAGAGCCATCCCCTGCAGAGAAGGGGGCACAGAGCCCCGCAAAGCTCTAGGGACAGAAAACTGCT